TGATTGGGACCATTACGTAGGTGAAAGGGTGAAAAACATGTTTCCCCACTCTTCACTGTGCTCCTGTTCATAAAACCAAATTCCAATAACATGGGGTGGGGTGGGGGAGGAAGAAAATTAAAAATATAAAATGAATGCAGTGCTATTTGCAAAAAGATGGGTTGAAATAATTGAGCGGGATTTGAGTGCAGAAGCAGGCTCCCAGCTTCCCAGCCCCCCCCCTTTTTACATCAACTTTTAGGAGTGTAGATTTTTGCATTGTCACCTGGAGTCAACTCCTGGTGGCCGCAGGTGACTGCAAGCATCTTCTATAGAGCTGAGTCAGCATTTTGTGAATGTCATTTTTTGGTGCCAAATACTCGAACTACTGCACCACACTGGCTTAAATTCTATCTATCACCTATCTAATCACAGAGGTATGAGATAATTTTAGATCTTTATCAAGAAGAAAAAATAGGTCTACAACTGGTGACAAATCATAATCAAATAATCTTGATAAGATAATTTTAGATCTTCATCAAGAAGAAAAAATAGGTCTATGGCTGGTGACAAATAATAACCAAATAATCTTAAGCGGCTTCACAACATTGCAATGCAGACTTGGTATATAATATCACATAAATATCAGCACAGCCAGATATTCTACAACATATTTAGGGCATTTTACACATTGCAGTGTTGTGAAGCCACTTAAGACTATCTGGTTATTATTGTACATTCTTTTGGCCACCGGCCATAGACCTCTATTTGTTATGTTTTTAAATTATTTAATCCTATGTTATAATATATAAATATTACATTTGTTTAGACCTTGGCATTCATTCATTTGTATCCATATGATTGACAGGATCTCAACCTACCACTTCCCACACTATAGAATCTATAACCTCCCACACCATAGCGTACTTCATTGAAGAGGTTAATGAGCCTTTGAAACTGTACAGGCATCTAACCAAGAAACCCATGTCTAACTAGGATGGAACCAGTTGTAGGGACCAGGTCTAGGTGGTTTTGTCACACATGAGGTCATCAGACTGAACCCTTGAAACAAGCACTCTTTATCAAGAGCTGGGAGGAGACCCACCATCACAGGCACACCTCTAATAGTGCAGTGCAAGACTCAGTCATAGTTAACTGCCTAGCTCTTCTTCTTTTTTAAAAATATAATTTTCTTAAATTTTCTGTTTTACAACTTAGAATACTCACTTAAACATCCTTAAAACGTCAATGACTTCCCATCTTCTCTTTCCATGGTTCATTTTACATATCATAATTCCCTGCATATTTTAGGTAAGCTAAACCATTCAGTATTCCATTAGTACATCCATCAAAACTTATTTACACTATTGAATTTATTTTAATGCTGCTAGCATTTTCAGCTGTATACAGTTATTTCCCATATATTCAATAAACGTTGTCCAACGTATGTTCTCCTTGTTCTCTTATTTCATATGTTAAGTCTGCAAGCTGCACATAGTCTGTCAACTTAAGTTGCCATTCTTGTTTAGTTGGGACCTCTCTCGTTTTCCATGCTGGGGCTAACGAAACACAGGCCACATACATAACCTTTTTTGACACCTGGTGTCAAAACTGCCTAGCTCTTCTGTGACTCAGGTTTATTAAGTCCATTGGCCTACTCCCCTTCAATCCATCCCCATCTTCATTTGCTTCATTGCTAATGCTGGCTGGTTACTATCCCAGCAAGGCCTCGTTGTCCATCGCCCTGCTTCTATTTTCCATGTCCTGCAGCGCAGTGATATGGTTCACCCCACCAGGAACCAGGGGACTCATAAGCTCTTAGGATCCTGCCCCCTTTCCTCTCTCAGGCTTCCAGAGTATGGATAAAATGCAGGTCCCAAGCCCTGGTTGTGTGTGTGTGTGTGTGTGTGTGTGAGAGAGAGAGAGAGAGAGAGAGAGAGAGAGCAGAACTCCTTGGGAACCTTCCCAGTGAAAGTCCCATCCCGAGGAGATCAGCTTGACAATCCTGAAGTCAGAGATGGAGTGACCTCAGAAAGCAAGGCAGATGCAAGGGGCTAGCCAACCTTCTTCTTCTAGCAGGGCTCCTGTGCTTTTGAGAGGCGGACAACAGAGGAGCCGCTGGCAGTGCAGCTGTTAAGGATTCCACCTTGCCTGTCCCCTTGCATGGCAGAAGGGGGAAACGCTTTGGTGTAAGGACACTTAATGATTCATCAAGTTAAGGTCGTTGATATCTTTCAAAATACCCATTTCCTTAATGGCTCCTCCTGTACTTAATGTCTTTAATAAAGATTTCATCCTTTTAAGGATCTGGCAGTACATTTTGGCATTCGTCTCCGAGCTGACTTCTTCTTTCTCACTGGGACCAGAATGTCTTTTTCCTTTACGTGGGAGTGGGGCAGGGAAGAAGAGGAATAATTATTTTAAAGCAATTGTACTAGGTCCTCTTGGACAGGGAATTGAGGAAACAGACTCAAGATACAGACAGGCAGTGCAATGTGTTCAATGGGGCTTACTTCCAGGCAAGGGAATACAGGATGGAAATGAGTGGTATGTAGTCAGTAGACTAGCGAGACTAGGCTAGTCCCCCAAATGTTCCCAGTAAATTAGAGTATTAAAGCCTGTTGCCTCCTTCCTAAGGCCTGGGAAGCTTCTGTCTGGTTTAGAGGGAGGCATGCTGCTCTGAAAACCAGGCTTTGAGAAGCAGGCAGGAGGGCTCCAGCATCTTGTTGGAGGCCTGGCGCCTCCTCCCCAAAGCCCAGGAAGCTTCTGTCCAGCTTAGGGAGGGAGGTGTGATGCTTGTGATGTCACAAAGTCACCCCCATCACCCTCACAAGCTGCCCCCTCTAGCCTTAACTTTTCCCCTCCAAAAAATTTCACTGCATGCCACTGAAACAATCATCTACATATATCCAATCAAGGATCACCATCAGCAATGTTGACAAAGACCTTGACCTGTGACTGTGGGGTATTATTTATTTTTATTTACTACATCTTATACTCCACATTTCTTCTGTCATGAAGCTCAAGTCAATGCACATGGGATTCCAGGGCAATCTTGTGGGAATGTTGTGGATACTAGGAGAGGATATATTGATTAAATATTATCCTTCCTCACTCATGCTTGTGAGACAGCAGCAGAATATATTCCCCAGCATATAGCAGGAAGCAAGTTGGTAGATTTGTTTGAATCTCTTTACTTAAGCAATCCAATCTGGATTTGTCCAGATTGGGTTTTGTTCCTGGTAATAATAATACTTTTATTGTCATTGTACAACCTTTGTACAATGAAATTAAATGAGCCCCCCCCACACTCAATCTCTTATTGAACAACATACCACCTCACAAGTCAATTTCACTATGTTATTTTCCGTTCAACAGCCTAACAGCCCATGGATAGAAGCTATTTTTTAGCCTGTTGGTACGGCTGATTATACTTCTATATCTCCTGCCTGGCGGTAGAAGATTAAAGATGTGATGGCCGGGGTATGAGTCATCCCTGAGAATTTTTCTCACTCTCCTAAGGCAACGATCCCTTGTGATGTCATCTAGCGGACTCAAGGGACAGTCCATGATATCATGTGCTGTATTCACCACCCTCTGTAGAGACTTTCTGTCCATGGCTGTCAGGCCAGCATACCATACTGTGATACAATATGAAAGGACACTTTCTATTGTGGACCGGTAAAAGGAGTTCATCAATTGTTGTTTAACATTATTCTTTCGCAAGACCCTGAGGAAATGGAGTCTCTGTTGGGCCTTTCTGACCACCTGAGTTATGCTGATTTCCCAAGTGAGGTCCTCACTAAGGTAAGTCCCCCTTTATTCCTCCTAAAAAGAATAAAGACACAACAATATTCTTTTAAAAGTAATAAGAAGTTTACTCACGTTCAGTTCACAGGTTGATCCCTGAAGGCAGGCTTTAGCTTAGAGTTACAGAAAAGGGTTTGAGTTCATCCCATATGGGAATGAGCCCATGTCCTGGTGGCTGAGAACCAGCAGACAGCAAAATACATCAGTATCAAGAGATCATGGCATCAAGAAGAAGAGTTAAAAGATGAAGATGGCTGTGTGACCAGCCCCTTTTATGGGGTCTTCCAGGGTCATGTCCACCTACCAGGTCACATGCAGGGGGAGGAAGCTCCAGACCAGGTGTGACAGGAAGTCCTCCTGGGTGGAGTAACACCCCCCGTCGCACCTCCACTCTGGGCAAATAGGAAGTGTTGTACTTGACTGCTTATGTTACATCCCATAAATCTCCCATCTGAGCACTGGCCAGACCAAGATTTGCTTGGCTTCAGCAAAACAGGGTACAATGTGCCCTTAGGCAGTGCTGGTATTTATTCTTCCTGCTCCTTTTCCTCATAACTTGGGGGGTTGGTTTGTGCATGGCTATGCATTATGACAGCTCCAGCATCCATTGGTGACCCCAGAACTAAGTCTACAGGTAGAGCTTCCACATCCACTCATACGCCGTGCTTTTCAGGTATAAAATACCCATGAGTCACTTCAAGAGAAATCCAATCAAGAGAATAGTCAAGGGATCATACGGGGGCTTTCAGCTAGACATCTCTAAAAATGCCATGAAAACCTACCAAAGATGAAACAAAATTCAGTGTGGCGACATGCCCATCATTCGACGTGTTATAAATTCTGTTAGGTTACCTTGCAGTAAGATACCGCGGATAATTAATAGGGATGAATGGAAACGCAAGCAACACTTTAAAAGGGTTTTGGCAGAGAGGGGAATGAATGCATTACCACTCTTTGCTGAACCCCTGGAGTGGATTAAGACATATGGAACAGATTCAGCCATTGATTCTTGGCATGTGCTGAGAGACCCACAGTGCCTAGGCCTCCGTAAGCTTGCTCCAAATTCTTCAGCGTGTAGATGAAATGATGATACCACTGCCCTCCTTTGGGCACTGGAGACTTTGCAGCGCACGCCTCCCCATGCCCAATAATTAATCTTTCATATTTGGCTACATAAATAGCATTTAATTGTCAGTCTCAGAACTAAAAATACAACGGCTAGCTTATGCACGTCTCTGTAAAATATCATCAGTAACAATAGGAGACTCAAATGTATTTCATATTAGCTTAGAACTAACCTTTGCGTCTCATTATCAATCCGATAAAAGCCTCTCTTGCTAGGAAGTCGTCTTTTCTTCATGGCAACAAAGCTGTCTTTATTCACCTGTGCTTTCTGACAGGACCTTCAGTTTTCATGCAGGATATATGTGTCTGCCTTCATATAACCACACCTATTCTCTCCCTACCTGTAAAAGTTGCTTCAAAACAGCTTTTTAGCCGACTTCAACGCCTTATGCAGAGAATCGGGTTTCCTGATTACCATAGTTAACCGAGTGACGTTTTCCAGCATTGTGGGCATTCTGATCATGCTTCAGGTGCAGGAGCAGTGTCATAAACAAGCAATCTGGAAAGTCATGTTAAGCAACCAGTAGGATGATTGATAGGTCTCGTGCATACAAAACACGCACAAACTGGCTTTGGCAGTCAGACTGAATGGATGATACAGTGGAAGGAGAAGCAGGGAACTTCCGCCGCTCACGGAACAAAGTGTCTAGTGACTCTAATCTTATGACACCTTCATGGCGCACAACTGCCTTCTGGCTTAAAAGACTTTTGACGTGTGCTGCTGACACGGACAGGCAGAGGACAGATGCACAGATATGTCCCTGGCACATTTCAGTCATTTTTATCACTGCATTTTCCAGTATCACGGCAAGTTAAAAAAAGAGATCAACACTGCGGCCAGAGATTTTGAATGTTGCAATAACTTCCCATATGTTAGCTCAGTCATCTGTACAACAATCCAGTGAGGTAGGTGCAGTTGTGTAAGTTTAAACAACAACCATGGCACTTTTACATACTGTACATGCAGTCTTTTCCTCCCTTTTTTTCCTAGAGAAAAGGGTCTCACGGATTCGGAAGCTGCCTTTTAATGAGTCAGACCCTTGGTTCATCTTGTCCAGTGTACACAAAGTGGCAAGGGCTGTCCAGGGTTTTGGGCAGAGAGTATTCTTAGCTGTACCTGGAGAGGCCAGGAATTGAAGGTGGGATCATCTTCATTCAAAGCAGGTGCTCTGCTACTTGGGTCATGACAATTCATGTGAAAATTGGGGGGGGGTAGATTTTTAGTTTCATTTAGGTAACCTTCTCTGCAATGTGAAAAGGCTTGTCAGCCTGGCAAGTATTCTCTCTCTCTCTCTCTCCCTCTCTCATCTATTTCTTCTTCTTCTTCTTCTTCTTCTTCTTCTTCTTCTTCTTCTTCTTCTTCGTCTTCTTCTTCTTCTTCTTCTTCTTCTTCTTCTTCTTCTTCTTCTTCTTCTTCTTCTTCTTCTTCGTCTTCTTCTTCTTCGTCTTCTTCTTCTTCTTCTTCTTCTCATCTGTCTCAGGAGACAATGGAGGAGTGTCCCTTTGGGGGTGAAGTCAATCTGTTGGAAGGTTCTCTCCATCATTATAGACATCATCATCATCATTTTAATTATTTATATTCCACCTTTCAGGACAACTCCTTACAAGTAGCTTACAGCTTTCAAAATATATAACATCATGTAAAACAAAATAGAAAACAGCACCGATACAATCTCTTCTTAAAACTTTCTCGGTCTCAGGTGACGACAAATGGGACTTCTTTCTTGCCTCCAACACACAATGCTTTTCCAGTGGTTCAGTGGTTCAGCTGGCAACCACTGAATATTGAGACTGGCAAGAACTGACTGGCAATAAATAAATAAATACATAAATAAATAAATAAATAAATAAGTACATGTGTGAACCTGGCAACCTGCCCTTTTAGGACCGTGGATCCATTAGATGACTTTTTTTTTTAGGACTGGTGCCAATGGCTTGAGGCACATAGCAGCCGTGGGAGAGGTTGGGACCATAGTAAGGGCAAATGATTAAAAAAAACACCCGTCCAGCCTCCCTCCAGGTATGGTTCTGATCAGACTTCCCCACTTACTTTAGATCAGCTTCCCCCAATTAAGGGTCTTACATTTGTTGCAGAACACCAGCTCTTATCAGCTCCTGTTTGCATGGCCAAAATGATCAGCGATTATGGGAGTCGTGGGACAACAACATCTAGGAGGTAACAGGTATGGGAATGCTATTCTGAAGAATAAATCACACAAATGCTAATAATCACAAAGAGCACCATGTGTTGCGCAGCTCTGAATGTGAAAGGACTCTAATGTTTGGGGAGTCTATCTAGAGCGGAACAAAGGAGCTGAGAGGTTGCTCCAGTAGTCCTTGTGACACCTTGTGGCTGAAAAAAATATAGATTGAGGATGGAAAATTGTTTTTCTTTTACACAACAGCCTCTCCTTTTAGTTGACTTAAAAAAAATAAATAAAAGAATGACTTATTCCCTTTGATTGCCTGGGGACAATCACTTGAAGTGCACGTTCCATTTTAAAGGTAGATTTGTCGAGTCTGTCGGTTGCCCTGGCAGGTGTCAAAAGGTCAGGTGTCCACGCTGATTCCTTTAGAAGCATCAAAGTAATCTTTGATACCATGGGGACAGCCAAGTGCATGATTCATAATTAATACATTTTCTCAAGGAACTGAGCTGTTCCTGCTTATGAGCTGATTTCTGAGTGATCTGGGCTTGTATCACATTCATAATCTCCTCCCAGGCCTTTGGCCAATTAAACAACCAATGTCCTTTTAAACTGGGTGTGTTTTGTTTGTTACTATGGGCTAACACTCACCTTTTTGCCCTGCTCTTTCAAGGCAGATGTCTGCGCTTTAACACTCCATCTCTCTCTCTCTCTCTCTCTCTCTCTCTCTCTCTCTCTCTCTCTCTGTGTGTGTGCCACAAGCTTCCCCCACAAAAATCCACTCTTTAAAGATGAATCGGAGCAAAGACAATTTCCCACGGATTGCTGTTTGCTCCAATTGAGTTTTAAAGAGCAGCTTTTCGTGAGGAAAGCTCCAGACTGCAGTGTTTCCCAAACTTGGGTCTCCAGCTGTTTTTGGACTACAACTGCCATAATCCAGCAAGACCACTGGTCAGGGATGATGGAAATTGTAGTCTGAAAGCAGGTGGAGACTCAAGTTTGGGAAACACTGCTCCAGAGCAAAACAGGATGCTCATACGCAGAGCTTTAATTTGTGGACCATGCCTAGACAGAGTGGAGGAAAGTTTAGTAAAAACACTTCATGTACCAGTTGGTCTTCATCTGCTGTTTCCTTTCGAGAGCTATGAGCCGTTTCTGCTGTTCTCTTGACGCATGATCTTTTACATGCTCCTCCGCCACTCAAACTTGGCACCAAAGCTGTGGGAAACCTACACAAGTGTGTCTGACCTCGTACTCTTGTGGAAAGCTCATAAATGGATTCTGGTGCTATGATTAACATCTGGAGGGCTGCCATAAATCAAACTGTATGTACTTAAGAAGGCTGGGCTAGTCTAATGGGAAACAATGTGCAGGAGCGATGAAAAAAATTAACCCGGGGCAGTGCAGATCAATGCAATCATATGATGCATCCCTTAATGTTCTGATCAGTGCCACTACGATAAGGATCACAGGAACTATCCAAATCTCTCTCTCTTAAAAAAACCACCATGGTCCCAAAGATATCTGACCGAAGCCTCTTGGGTTTTTAAAGGCTAATTGGCTGCAAAGATTGAATTGTTTTTGGCTGGTGAACATGCTCTCCATTGGGTAGAATAAACTCTGCTCTTTATAGGATATTTTCAGCTGAAAACGTTTTTTTAATTTTTTTGCTGCTTCTCAGATATTTGCTGATGGTTTGAATATTTGCTAAAGGGTCTCTGAAATTGATTAATGACTACGTTTAATTTTAAGATTCATTTTTTATGTTTGTTTTAAGTTCTTTTCATTAGTTTGCCAAATGAAATATAGGTATGCGTTTCAAGCACATTCTCTGTCTATTCCACTGCGGTAGGCTAAATGCAATCATTGGGTTGTAGCCAACCATGTCATCCCATTAGCACAATAACTTCAATCAATACAATTTTTCCTGTATCACTATCTCCCAAGCTCAGAGCAACCAGCTGTTTATCATGGGAATGCCCAGACTTTAATATCTGCATGCTGCCTTAATTCTTGGCAATGCTGAATTAAACTGGTTACTAATTCTACATCTATATAATAGGTATCGCTGAACCCAGCCTCCTCATACTGTGAATAGTGGGACAACTTTGGATCCAGCAATGGATGAGGTACAGGCAACAGACATGTGTACAAATTTTGTTCAGCCAGGTCAGTGTGGAGGCACAGCTCTGGTTGTTAGAAAGCAGAGGTGGGGAAAATTGTCACCTTCCAAACAATACAACTCCCATCATCCATGTCTATTGGCCCTGATGGGAGGGACTGGTGGGATATGGAGTCCAACAACATCTGGAGGGCCACGGGTTCCCCATTCCTCCTCTAGACCAAACCTTCAGGGCCACTAGGTCCAGAGTGGCAAGGGATGGAGTCTATTTTGAACTTGCCTGCCTCGCTAACCCAAAACTAATAGTCAGGGGAGGGTGGAGGGACCTGGTGAGGCCTCCCTTGAGGGTGAGAAGCAGTGAGGAACCAGGATTTGCTGGGTCACCTCATCTTGGGACATACTGGTAGATGCTGAGCACAATTCAAAGGGTTGGTGCTGACCTTTAAAGTCCTAAATGGCCTCAGCCCAGTATACCTGAAGTAGCATCTCTAACCCCATCATTCAGCCCAGACACTGAGGTCCAGCTCCGAGGGCCTTCTGGCGGTTCCATCACTGTGAGAAGTGAGGTTACAGGGAACAAGGCAGAGGGCCTTCTCGGCAGTGGCGCCCACCCTGTGGAATCCCCTCCCATCAGATGTAAAGGAAATAAACAACTATCTGACTTTTAGAAGACATCTGAAGGAAGCCCTGTTTAGCGAAGTTTTTAATGTTTGATGTTTTATTGTGTTTTCAGTGTTCTGTTGGGAGCCAACCAGAGTGCCTGGGGAAACCCAGCCAGAAGGGTGGGGTATTATAATTTATTATTATTATTATTATTATTATTATTATTATCATCATCATTATTATTATCATTATTATAGATGTGGAGCATTGACACCTGCAGCCTCAGCCTAGGGAGCTACCTGCACTGGTGGAGGTTTAGTTCAAGTTAAGGCACTTGAATATTCTGTTGGACTTGTATACCCATTCACCTTGGAGTGAGGTCCATTGAAGACAGCAGGGCTTCTTTCTGAGTAGACACTTTTTTTTTTTAGAAGAAGAGTTTGGATATGATATCCCGCTTTATCACTATCCTAAGGAGTCTCAAAGCGGCTAACATTCTCCTTTCCCTTCTTCCCCCACAACAAACACTTTGTGAGGTGAGTGAGGCTGAGAGACTTCAAAGAAGTGTGACTAGCCCAAGGTCACCCAGCATCTGCATGTGGAGGAGCGGGGACGTGAACCCGGTTCACCAGATTACGAGTCTACTGCTCTTAACCACTACACCACACTGGCTCTCCTGAGTAGACACTTTTAATGTAGTTGTAATGTAGATGTGTGGCCCCTTGTCTAGATTTTTAAGTTTAGATCAGTGCTTGGGAAATAGGTCTACAGGCAACTCAATGGACCTTCCCTGTTCAGAGGCCAACTACATGCAGAGGGGGACAGTTAACGTTGGAGGGTTGTGGTCTGCTGGATCAGGGTATTGGTCCATCTAGTCTAGCATCCTGTTCTCACAATGGCCAACCAGTTGCCTAATGGGAAGCCTGAAAGCAGGACCTGAGCACAACAGCACTCTCCCCTCTTGTGACTCCCAGCCAGTGGCCTTCAGAGGCATACAAACCCACCCAGTTTATACACAAACACACGTCCCCCATTTAGGAAGCTCACATACCGAAGCCACTGCGCGCAGCTGTTTCTTTCTCCCAAGGTACCTTTGGGAAAGTTCTGCTCTGTGACCTCTGCACCTGCACCATCCCCCTAAGTGCTAAGAGTTATGTTTAGCCTACTAATAGCATGTCAAGAAATGTCTCGTCCAGCATCTGCTAAGGCTTGCTTACCCCGCAGGGATCTCCTCAGTGTGGTTGTCAGAGGGACACAGATCATTTTGTTCCCACCTGACATGATCAGCCTTCAAGGTTACCAACAGATTATTTAAAGATGACTTGGCATGGCCCCTTTGGTTTATCATGTTGGTGACAGAATGTCATTTCCTTTACTGCAGGGCTGGAGCGCACCTTTGTCCCAGCATGTCGCCATCTCTTCAGAAGCAGAGATGGGACCCTCAAGTTCTGAAATAGCTTCAGTCTGGAGATTGGCTAAAACTGGCTAATGCGAGTCTCTCTGCAGGTCTATTTTATTGTCAGAGAGCATCGTCTCTATTAATGAATGCCTTTTATGGTTGGCAAACAACGCCCATTTACAGTGAAAGATTTCCTGGTTCTCACCCTATTAATAAACACACATCTCTTTTTAATGTGTTTCCTTGTTCCCAATCAATTCAAATAATACTTGTTTTACAAATGAAGACTAAAACCATGCTCCCCCACCTCCCTGCTTAATAAAAGGAAACTTTTTTTAAAAATAAAAAAAATTATTGATATACAAAATATATTAAAAGGGATAAGTGTAACCAATACAAATGCATGCAGAAATAGAAAAAACCACAAAATAACATGAAAACGCAGTGCAGAGGAAAATCTGAAAACAACTGACAATACAACACGACACAATACAATAAAAGGAAAATTGAAACATTAGGGAATGGAGCATGAAAGAGAGGAAAAGGCTAGGAAGAGAGCCTTTTCCTCTGAGTCACAAACAGTCTGATCTGGGAAACAAGGTTTTGAGGGAACATTTTCTGTGTGAGATAGGCAAAATGATAGGATATTGGGTAGTGGTAAGCGCATAGGAAAGCAAATTCTCGTTCAGGTACCGGAGTCTGCACTCTTAGAACAAACTTGTAGATAAGTGTGCTCAGAGAATTGTGTTCAGCTGGGAATTGCTGTGGATCGTGACTGGGATCATGTCCCTTTCTGGTGCTCCTTGGCTGATTTTTCTTCAGACTAAAAGTGATCCGTTGAAAGGCCCTCAAGCACACACAATTAACTAGCATGAAGGGTAGCCTGGTATTGTATAGCCGGAGAAAGGGAAGGCACAGCGGTGGGAAGTCCAAGGTTCAGTACTTGACACTTGCACTTTAAAGGAACAGGGAGCAGGTGAAGAATTGCCTGACACCCTGGAGAGCCACTAGCAGCTGGACTAGACAACAGCCCCCTGTTTTAGAGCCTGTGAAGGATGGATGGTAGCTGGAGGGGGGTGAAGGGGCAGCTGCCGGAGCTCAGTTGCTGTGCCGCTGAAGCTGTTGGCAAGACCAGAAACAAACAAAGTTCAGAAGTTTTAAAAACTCTAAAAAGAAAGAGAAATGAGAAAGGGTGGTGGTGGACAGAGACGAGCAACCCCCCCTGACAAGAATTGTAAGCTCCTCCCCACCAAGCACATTGGTTCCAATTCTGAACCGTTTTATCACACCCCTTTTATATCTCTGCTGGTTTCAGTCTAAATGCCCCACCCTTAAATTCCACCAAAGTGGAATGAAATGAGACCAGCCAGCTAGCTAGATGAACGGATCTAGCCTGATCTGGTCTAAAAGAGCTTCCTAAAGGCTGGATATAAATTCTCTTTTACATAATTGCTCAAATAGCTTTATCAATAAGTTCATTGGGTCGCACTCTCTCTCTTGCTGAATAAGCAAGCAGAAGATGCTACAGGCTGAGCAAGCTCCCCAGTTTTATTTCCCAGCCAATGTTGTTATTGTGAATCGAAGAAATAAAGGCCATTTAGTTATCAGTCAAAACAGACTTGGCTGTCCCTTAACTTTGCATAGAAAAGGGAATGCCATTGACAATGTGGGACGACCCCCTGCTCTGACTCCCAGGCAAGCACACGAGCAGAGAGATATAGTGAAACATTAATACAGTGGTACCTCAGGTTACATACACTTCAGGTTACATACGCTTCAGGTTACAGGCTCCGCTAACCCAGAAATAGTGCTTCAGGTTAAGAACTTTGCTTCAGGATGAGAACAGAAATCGTGCTCCGGCTGCGCGGCAGCAGCAGGAGGCCCCATTAGCTAAAGTGGTGTTTCAGGTTAAGAACAGTTTCAGGTTAAGAACGGACCTCCAAAACGAATTAAGTACTTAACCCAAGGTACCACTGTATTCATTACTGTACTATTAAAATGGCATATAAAATTCCCCTTTGTGCAGTATAAACCATCTGGAAAGGTAGAATGTATCTGAATTCTGCCTCCCCACTCCCCAGAAGCCACCTTTTGGAATAGAACCAATTTTACATACAACCTATAGTACAGTGGTACCTCAGGTTACAGATGCTTCAGGTTACAGATGCTTCAGGTTACAGACTCCACTAACCCAGGAATAGTACCTCAGGTTAAAAACTTTGCTTCAGGATGAGAACAGCAATCATGTGCTCTGGCAGCACGGTGGCAGCAGGAGGCCCCATTAGCTAAAGTGGTACCTCAGGTTAAGAACTGTTTAAGTTAAGAATGGACCTCCAGAACGAATTAAATTCTTAACCCGAGGGACCACTGTATGTCAATGAGACAAATTTATTTAAGGGGCGGCTTATCCTACATGCACGCCCACCAGGGAGCCAGGAATGGTTCCTGGTTACCGTCAGGCCAAAGCCAGATGTTTCTGCTATATAATCTGTGGAATAACCATTAGACACAGAATAGTTCATTTCTCATTTTTGCTCACATAAAAATGATCCTTACTTCAGCACTAGGGGATGGCGGACAGCGGATTACAAAGAGTTCAACAATATCTTTGGTTATCTACTGTCACCTTGTGTTTAAAAAATATAATTGCACTTAAGACCCCATTACTGTGAGTGGTAAACCCTGGAATGTAGAAAAACAGCTTGCAAAACACGTATGTCTTTTAAAAAAGTCATTGATTTAGCTAATGTGTATTAATTACTACAGCATGTGTCTGTTTTCCCCCTGAAATATATAAAACATGCCTTTTGGGCTCACATATGATTTTTTTTCCCCATATCAAATTAAACAAACAAAAAGAAGTATTTGCAGTCATCACAAGAAAGCTTGATTATGATGACTTTTGGGGCTCTTACTGAAAGAAAGGCATTTAGACTTCTCCATATTTTGTTAATTTCACATATTGTTGCACATATGGTTATGCAATAAGGCTAAGGAATGTAAAATGCAATTCCTGTCAGGGAAGAAACCTTCAGTCATGTAGCCCTTTGACTATTTTCCAGACATTGTTGATGCATTACACTATTTTTTGCTGTAACATTCTGTCTCCATGGATTAGCTCTCAATATTTTTCCCATGCACGGAGATGTTTACCAGACATAAAAATGTTGACTTAGTTTTTAAGACTTCTTGATCGATGACCCTATGACCTGAGGATGGATACCTGGCTAGATCTGGAGGGTAGTCATTTCCGACAAAAATGTATTTTTCCTGTCTCTGTATACACAAGAATCCTGTGGAGACAAAGCATGACATTCCAGCTGAATTGCAGCTCCTAGACAACAGAGAATGTTTGTGTAGTAAATGAGATTGATGCCATTCCAGTCAATATTGTTTTGCCCAGTAGGGGGTGCACATGTATTTATATTTTTTATTTTGTGCTGGCGGTGGGGAACATTTCATCAATATACTTGTTTCTGTTCCTAGTAAAAGATCGTTTCTGTATAAAAAGGGGTTTGAAAAGTATCTCTGCGGAATGCAGATTAGATAAAACCATACCCAGGTTGACTCAGATATTTCCTAATTCAAACGAGACTTTGCCAACTTCATGCAGTCTCATAAGGTCCCAGTTTATTGTTCTCCTATTCCTAGGATGAGGTAGAATTCAACCAGGTGTGGAGGGGAGGCCTACCCCTCCTTCTACAGACATCGCTGGCAACATATCTGTGCTTGACCAACTCTTTAGACATGTAAATAAGGTGTCTAACAGGTTGGTCAGACCCATTAACCCAACAAAGGACTGGTTTGACCACTTCAGTAGTTCCCTTTGCTACAGACTCCCATCCTGGGACACAGGTGGCGCTGTGGTCTAAACCACTGAGCCCCTTGGGCTTGCCGATCAGAAGGTCGGCGGTTCGAATCCCCGCGACGGGGTGAGCTTCCGTTGCTTGGTCCCAGCTCCTGCCAACCTAGCAGTTCGAAAGCACATCAAAGTGCAAGTAGATAAATAGGTACTGCTCCGGCAGGAAGGTAAACAGCGTTTCCGTGTGCTGCTCTGGTTTGCCAGAAGTGGCTTAGTCATGCTGGCCACATGACCCGGAAGCTGTACACTGGCTCCCTCGGCCAATAAAGCGAGATGAGCGCCACAACCCCAGAGTCGGCCACGACTGGACCTAATGGCCAGGGGTCCCTTTACCTTTTACCCATCCTACAGATACAAAATGAAAGACTTAAAGGTGACCCACAGCATTATCCACTCCCCCAACCCTGCAACAATAAGCTTGACTATAAAGTTCAGTTGCTATAGGTGTTTGACAAATGGGACCCACAACAAAATATTGCAGTGTTGAGTGCTCCTGTTCTTGCTGCCTGCCTGCCAGCCATGCCTGCCTGCCTTCTTTCAAGATACTCCATTCCACTTTCCCTCAGGTTTCCCATATTTCCCACTCTGAACTGTCAATCAGCATGCAGTATCTGCTGAGCATGCTCAGGGCACACAGAGATGTTTTTGTACTTCTAAACCTATTGATGATGATGATGATAATTTATTACTTATACCCCACACATCTGGCTGGGTCTCCCCAGCCACTCTGGGCAGCTCCCAACAGAATATGGAAAACACGATAAAACATCAAACATTAAAAACTTTCCTAAACAGGGCTGTCTTCAGATGTCTTCTAAAAGTCAGATGGTTGTTTATTTCCTTAACATCTGATGGGAGGGCGTTCCACAGGGCGGGCGCCACTACTGAGAAGGCCCCCTGCCTGATTCCCTGTAACCTCACTTCTCGCAGGGAGGGAACTGCCAGAAGGCCCTCGGAGCTGGACCTCAGTGTCCGGGCTGAATGATGGGGGTGGAAACGCCCATTCAGGTATACTGGGCCGAGGCCATTTAGGGCTTTAAAGGTCAGCACCAACACTTTGAATTGTGCTCAGAAACGTACTGGGAGCCTATGTAAGTCTTTCAGGACCGGTGTTTTATGGTCTTGGTGGCCACTCCCAGTCACCAGTCTAGCTGCTGTGACTGGGAGTTGATGCCCACCTCTTGCACCAATAGGGACATGGAGAATAAATTTGTTATTAGTATATGTTCAACAATGATGGTCAGTTGATGGTCCTACACTCATGTTCTGAAATAGCATGTAGTCTAAAGCATACCTCATTTTTCAATTGCACCCCTACTGAACCATTTATGGTTTATGTGGCTACAATTTTGTAGCAGAAAAATAATAATAA